CCGTAACTAAACTTTGTGACAAAACTTTGCAGCCAAATCATATCTTCCTGATTAGATGAGGTACTTCTTGGCCAATCACCCCATTTCGGGGATGGTTTCTCTCAGGAACATCTATCAATACGAATAAATTCCACGCCAAAGACTGACATATCTGGTGTTTATGGCTTTCGATCAAAAACGTTTCAAATTTATACCTCTAAACAACGGGATTCCACGTTATTGCTGGGTCCCATTGTATAAGGTACGTCAAACCGAAAACGTGCTCGGTCCATGGGGGTTTTAGGCAACTTTTTATGGAGCGGATGTATATTGCAGGGTAATTTAGGAATTCTGGGTAATAAGTCGGGACGGCATAATAGGTAAACCATTATCCAACAGAAATGACATCTCCGTTTTCTGGAAAAATTCCCTACAGAAAAATGCGACGCTTGCCTCTAATATGCGGTGTTTTGCACGTGTTACATTCGTATTTTAATACAAGAGGTGATGGGATGTCAATTTCGTCGTTTGGTTGAACATAGATTTGTCTACGAAAACTCAATGTGTGTTGGTACTCGTCAATAGCTGCTCGGAAAAAGGACATAGTTCAAATCGTTATATACCCTAACGCTTTAAACCACCTTTGAGAGTACATTTTTTTCTCACAACAGATCACCCGAATTTGTCGGAGAATATTTAGTATGTAGTCGTATTCATAAAATAATGGTCATTTTTGTTCATGAGTAACGATGGTCCCTGTCTGGACCTGGATTATTCTGCTTTCTATCATCTGGGGATTACCGACACGCGACAACTTTAAGTTGTGAATATCTCTTGCTACTGTACTACTGTCCGTTTCGTTATTGGCAATAAAATTTTATAGGATAGAATGAAATTTCCAAAACTATAACTGAACTGGCATTTAATGTGTTTTGAAAAATATTTAATAACCAATTGGTTTAATAAAAAATATAGCTAAAATACAAATATTGTAGAAGTGTATAAGCAGCATTTTCTTACATATTTAATTTGGTTATAATTTGAATTCTTGTATATTATAGAACCGCGACCAAAAAACAACGCCCCCAATTCTAGAATCACTGCTTACTCAAAAAGTACAATTCTCTATTTTTAATTTTTCAACACCGCATTGACTTGAGTACAGATAATTTAAAATTTACGATTGCTTCTTCGGTACACGATTCTTGCGAAATTACGAGACAAGCTAGCTAGAAATTAAGGGTTTAGTGTGAGAAGATTTTCTTCGAATTATCGTACGTTTCGGACAATTCTGTTTTATTTGACTATATATTGTTCCATATTTATTTTCGACCTGCATTTATAGGTCACAAATTTTCTTATTTAATAAGTGGGCTTCACCGTCCTTGATTTTATTAAAAGAAAAAACATAGCTGATTCTTAGAATCACACACATTGTAACAGCCGCGGACAATAAACTAAAACGTCTTTAATTAGAGATATTCATAAAACACCTTTCATTACCCCATATTACTTATCCACAACATTACTTAAATTAATTAAATATATCGATTTCACATGAGGTTACGACAACGCATGTTTAGTACTATTATCGCAATGAACATTATCGCAACTAGCAAGTCAAAGGTTTTGCCTTTTACGCCAGAATATGACGAAAAAAAGATTTTTGCGCCACTTTTCGTATTTGCGAGAATTTGCGCCATAAAGACACCTGACCCTTTCAGAGAAAACTCAGGCTCGTGTTGGTACCTACTGTATTCGGTCACACTCTTGCTAGTGACAATAGCACTATGTACATGGTCTGTCATTAACAAATGTTTAGAGCGCAATAGTTACAGCTCCTTTTGCGTATTTCTGTTCGAAATAGTTACTGTTATATTTCTGACTCTGTTTAGTGCATCAGTCATAATAAACTCGGCATTTATAAAAAAGAACAAAATTAAGACTTTGTTGACGAACCTGTTGGAACTGGATTACCTAATAGGAACGGATGGTGCTAAACTCCTTAAACGACGACAAAATATTTTAACATTTCAATTAATAACTATCCATTTGTGTCTAATTTCTTCCTACGCTTACGACATCTTTTCAAATCTTATTTCTTTTGAAGCAGAAACCGTTTTATTGAAAATTCCAGACTACATTAATGAGTACATCATGGCCATAGAGGTGTTATGCATTTGTAACTACACGTTGTCTATTAAATACAAGTTCACAGCTTTAAACTCGTCGTTTGCCAGTTTTGTGAAAAACTCTTTGGATAACGCTTCTAAGAAGCAAAGATATTCTGCGACGCTTGTAGAGCCACCGCCACTGTTAGCGACGTATCTTGAAGCTCATAACAAACTGTGCAACATAATCGATCTATACAACGAATGTTTCGGACTTCAGATTTTTGAGATACTCTTTATTGGAGTGGTTCACACTACATACACCCTTTTTTTGCTTTTGATCTACGCAAGTGGTAAAGCAAAACCTACCAGCGATACTAGCGTTGTGTACATATTAATCGTTTACGTCTACTTCTGTTTAATTTTTACCGTAAGCATATGGTGTTACTATATATTTTCTTGGTAACGTAGTTTTTAAAATTTTTAGATATTTGGAATAATGGTGACAGTTTTTTGTACAACCGCAGCCCGTGCAGCTCGACGAACTGCAACGATCTGCTACAAGCTACTGCTAAATATTTCGTTGGAATCGAAATCTTGTTATGAACAGGCTTTAAGGAAGGAACTATTATTATTTGCTGAACAAGTCAGTCAGCGTCAAGTTAAGTTCAGTGCTGGTGGATTTCTGACTATTGACTACAACACGTTGTACAATTTGTTTGGATCAACTGCAATGAATGTTATCATTTTGCTACAGTTTCAAAAACAGGGTGCTGTAAATAATTAAAGGGAAAAACCGGTACTACACTTACGCTAGTTGTCACATACCATAACTCAATTTGTCACGAGATAAATTCTAAATGTCCACACAGATTTTGATGTATACCTAACTGCGAATAAAAAATTAAATAAATAATTGCTAAATATTTTACTCTTAAGGTACGAGAAATAACAAACTGAATGATAACTGAGGAGAGCAATACTTCACAGTGATAATTAAGCCATTATTTATTTTGTAACACTTACACCTTACCAGTGGCGGCTCGTGACTATTTTGGTTGGGTCGGCCAGCAGTGAGTAACCCAAAGTTTTAAGACATAGAATACAAGAACCAGGGACCTCAAGTCAGTCATTATCTATAATTTGCTTCCTGTATGGTGTTAATTCATATAGTCCTAACAACTTGGTAAAACAAAATAAAAAATATTCTTCAAATAGGTATAAAGTAAAGCATATACTTATACAATATAAGCCATCTATAATAATAAAATAACGACAATAAACTCAAATAAAAATGAAAATAACATTCAAGTTATAAAGTAACACATTCTAACAAAAAATATAACATGAAACGTCAACAACTATTTATTAGTAAAAAACAAAATTAAAAAAGTAAATTAGAAATTTTTATAAACCAATTCAATGCGTCTTTGTTTTGTATTGGCAAAGTGGTCAATTACTTGATTATAGAACTTTTGATCTTCCGTTAAGTTTGTAAGCACTTCTTTTTCTATTGCTAAAACGAATAATTTGGATAATCGATTTTGACTAATGGAGTTTCTAGTAAAATTTGTAATTCGCTTTAAAGCTGAAAAACTGCGTTCAACATATGTTGATGTGGATGGTAGGTATATGATTAAAATTAAAGACAGAAATAATTTCGGAGGCTTCTACATTTTCGTAAGTAGCATCATCAGGAGCAGGGTTGAGAAATTAGGAAGATGGCAAAAGAGCACGGTAACTCAATATGTCAATCGTACCAGACGACCAAAGGCAAAACTCTTTTTCTGAAGTTTTTTTGAATTTATTGTCAACATCATATTCAAAAATTAAACAATATCAACAAAATAGTTTGTTTTTTGACTTGCTCCCCGTCAGCCATTCATAATTTTCATACCATGCTGTATTAATTATTAATTATTAATATGCTATTGCACCGGAGCTGACGTTATTATTGCTCCGTGCTTCGATTAAATGTTGCATGCGCGGCTCCGAACGGGTCATTTCTTTTATATCCCAGGAATTGATCATCGTATGTTAAAAGTCGAAAGTCATTATTTAATAGATGTGTAACAGCATCAAAATTTAAATCAGTTACTAATTCTCTTACTAACTGTTGTCATTGTTACTGAAATTAGAAACAAACCTAAACCAATTTCATCCACGTGAAGACTGCAGAAATTCACAATATACAGACAGCGGCCGGCCGGTGCTGGTAGTGGGGAACCGCATGGAAAAGTGCACGGCAGAAGTGGAGTGATGAAACGTAATATTGTACGGTTTCATCGCTATTGCCTTCTAACTTATACAAACAGAAGGTGATAGCGCTATAACAACTTGATGTACTGCCAAAAGGCCGGTCGATTTTAGCAGACATTTGACCAATCACTGCTGCAGGCGCGTTAATCAGAGGGTATCAGACACGTATCAGTCTTTATAGCTATTTCTCTTTAATTCCGCTAAACAGAGAGCGATAGCAGATATGACATTATTCGACGTTTATTCTTGTAGTCGGCCGGCCTCAGCTGCTGCTCCTCGCAGTAAAAATATTTAAACTTCCCGGCACGATTTGTGCTTCCGAACGAAAGTGAATAAATTAGATAACGCTTTTTGTAATTAAAAAAATAATAACAACAGTAAAATCAGGTGATTTCAAAATAGCTTTAAATTATATTCTTGCGTTTAAAATAAAAATGAATATCGTAAATTGACAAGTTCGGTGACAGACTCGGCCTGGCCTAACTGCCCCCCCCTGACGAGCCGCCACTGCACCTTACAATATTATCACTCAATATAAAAAAGATTACTCGTAATCGTATGTAGTTTTTAGAAATCAGGAACGTTATCTGAGAACTCTTTGAATTCTAAGTTTTATTTAAAAAAAAATAGTACTCTTTTTCTTTATTTTAAAACTAGACGTAAAACAATATCGTCAGAAAAAAATGCTTTACGAGACATTCATTTGGTTTGTTATCATAATTAAAGTGGTTTTATCAGTACGTGTAGGTACTTTTAGTGATTGATTAAGTCTATATAAGTTTTTTCAGATTGAAGATCCTATTGTAGAGCTTCCCAATGGAAAAATATTAGGACGCCTAGCAACAACCTATACCAATACACCCTTTTACCTTTTCCAGAAAATACCGTATGCAACTCCACCAGTTGGTGCTCTTCGATTTAAGGTATTACGTTTCGACTGGTACTTGTAAACTTTTACCAATATTTCAGGCACCTCAACCCGCTCAAACTTGGGATGGTGTCCTTAACACAACATATTTAGATGTTAGTTGTTATCAACAACAAGGTGATTTATCGTCGGATTCTGAGGATTGTCTTTTCGTCAATGTCTATACACCAACGGTATGCACATTTTACACTTCCAGTGTTAAAGCCGATGATCTAGTTTTGTACAATTGGTAGCTACCTACAAATAATGAAAATGCTTCCCTTCCTGTCATGCTCTTTATCCATGGTGGTGCATTCATTGTTGGTTGGAGCTTGCACTACCCACCGGATCTTTTTATAGACAACGAAGTCATTTTGGTTACTATTAATTACAGGCTAGGAGTTTTTGGTAAAAGATTTGTTACCTCTAAGTTAAATATTTACAAAAATGTATTTTCAGGATTCTTGTCAACAGAAGATGATGTAATACCTGGAAATAATGGACTCAAAGATCAACGCTTAGCTATACAGTGGACTCATGACAATATCCATTTGTTCGGTGGTGATCCAGAAAGAATAACTATTTTTGGTGAAAGTGCAGGTTCAGCGTCTGTAGCATATCAGCTACTGAATCAGAATTCAGAAGGTGTTGTAATTATTAATAGTTTGAAACAGTTAATATTTCAATATTCTCAGGACTGTTCAGAGCAGCAATTTTGGAAAGCGGGTCCTTTCTGTGTCCTTGGACCTATCAAAGAAACGCTAGAAGAATTGCCTTCGAAACAGCTGGAGTCCTAAATTCAACTTTTTGTACCAGCGATGATTCCAGTGCATTGTTAGAATTTTTACAAGGAGTCAGTGCAGATGATCTAGATGCAGCTGGACAACAGTATATGGAAAGTGTAAGTACTCCATGGGACTACGATGTTTCTCAAGGGATTGTCTACGCACCTGTAATTGAGGTGAAAAATCCAGACGCTTTTATCACCAAGAAAATGTACGGGCTACTGCAAGCAGGAAATATCTTAAAAGTACCTGTTATATTGGGTATTAACTCTGAAGAAAATTTACTGTTTAATCAAGGTAGTTCTCAAGATCTGATGATAAGGGACACGTAACATAGTATACAATTTCAGACCCAGTCGTTCTGCAGTCAATTTTAGAATCATGGGATAACAACTTGGATTTGATAGTACCAAACGACATGCAAATTACGAATAGTCAACAACATGCCGAGATGGCAAAATCCATCCGAGATATTTACACAAATGGTGAACCCTTTGGCACACGTTTAGGAGATGGCGTTCGAGTATGGTTACTAATTCAATCAAATAACCCATCTAACACTATTTTTTAGTATTCCACCGACACTTCCTTCAGTAGACCAGTAACTAAGCACGCAGAACTAGCGTCCGCGTTCACTGAAATTTATTTCTACCAGTTTTCCTACGATGGTTTACCTGGGCACATTTCCATCCACTATGATGGTGCTGAAAGTGTTGGCCATGCTGAAGAAATTCCATATATTTTTTGTAGTAGTATGCTTGGATGCAACATCAGCGAATTCACAGAAAGTGATACGGTTACATCTCAACGACTCATAAAGCTTTGGACAAATTTTGCAAAATATCAGTAAGTGTAACAAGTTTTTGCTGGCACTTTTAACTACCGATGAGTGTTTTTGCTTAGAAATCCGACTCCAGATTTGTCAGAATTGTTCCAGAATATTACTTGGTCTCAACTTTCAGTCGAAGGTGGTGATTTTCTATTCCTCGATATCAACGAGCAACTGGAAATCAAAAACCATCTCAAAGCAGAAGTCCTTCAGAAGTGGAACAATCTATATGAAAGTTTAAATTTTACAGATTTTGATACTTATTAATAACACAGTTTTAAAATGACCTTTGTCTTCAATATATTGGCGGTGAAAACGATCATACAAATATATTTAGAACGCAAAGGAGGAAATTGTCTAGAATCCCGACAAACGATTTTTATGAGTAACCTCATTATTGCAAATTCCTGTCTTGTAGAAATGCCGTACCCTTTTGCCAAAAGCCCGAGCTCGAAAATCACTTTCTATTTACACAACCATCAAAACCATATACATCTGTCTGTCTCGACTACCTGCGGTAATGAAAATTCGAACCAATCAAATCCCTTCAATGTTAGTGAGACACAGTGTTACACGCTTCCGAAGAAATAAGGAGTTAAACTGCTTGATTTTCACACAAAAACAGCCATATTTGTCCAAAATAAGTCTAATTTTGGCAAATGACAAATTCATTTTCCGTTACCAAAAACTCCAAGGAATCGAATGGTACAAACGCAAACTCTCTATATTGGACTATTTCGAAATGGATAAACTCGAAACATATTTTTTAATAATTAATATTCAACAACTTATGACGGCAATGAATTCTACACCTCAAAATTAGTCTAAAAATTAGATTGGAAGAAGAAGAATGAAGTGATTCATAGAGCTGGTTTTATATTCTTTAAATTGCGTTTAATTTTTTTTTATTTATCTCACAAATTTAAACAAAACAACGAAAACAGGTAAGTCGTCTCGTTACTAAAGTAACTGTATAGTAATACTTCAATTATTACCATGATGTTGCGGTAAATTCAAGGACGTTGCAACGAGAGCGGAATTTAAGTTCCTGGTCGTGATGTGTCACCCTTCCTCCATGATTTGACTTTGTTGACAGGTACAACACACAAATTACATCGGTATGCTCAAAAAACCTGCTGCATATTTACGCTTTATATCCGGTCTTTGCAAAACATGAAGTGTACAAGTGACAATCCATTTGTGCAAATGACATGAAAAAATCTACAATTTTGACTAGAAATCGTGCTTTCCGCTTTTAGAACGATACAAGTGTTGCAGGAAAAATTAACTAACATTTAATTGAGTTATACTCTAAAAAAAAAAAATCTAAATGACAGATGAATTCGCCAAATTTTTGCAAAATTTCAGACTAGAAAATCGGGAATTAACTGGTGTTACACTAATTACGCTCGTTGAAGGGGACAACGGCGTCGAAAGCGATTAATTTTTGTATAAACAGTTGTCCTTGTGAAGTTCCCAATAAAACACAAACACATGGTTTTCACTAACACAGCTAAACAAATGAGACTTGTTTCTTAATATACGTAGCTATCTTTTCTCAACAAGAAACTTAAAACATGGTTAAAATGGTACATTTTTGGAAGGAAATATGCATTTTGCAATTATGGGGTGGAGCCTAATTGCGAAATCGATATTTCCTTATGCAAATATTCCACTTTAAACATGTTTTAAATTTCATGTTGTGAAAAGAAGTCTACACATATGAAAAAAAAAAAGGCAAAATGTAAGCCCGCCCACCCGCCCGATCTCAATTGTGATGATTTTTTTATTCGCCGTGAACCAAGGGGGTGGAGCTTAACTGCAAAATACTTATTTCTTTACAAGAAATTAAAAACATATTTTTGAGTATCGGGTTGTTCAAAGAATACGATGTATATTAAGAAAAAAAGCCATAATCTAAAGCTCGCCCACTCACCCCATGTCAATTGTGATGATTTTTTTTTATTCTTATAAACTGAAAACACTGCTCATAATTTTATTCTCGTCCATTTTTACCTTATACTATATTTTTTTTTGTATTTCGGGACTCGTGGACATAACAAATAAGAAGAAGAGATAATAATAATAATAATAATAATAATAGATATATATTTGCCAAACAGCATAAGCCACAAGTAGGCAAAAGAAAAAAATACAAAATACATATATAAAAAACAATAAACAAATAAGTGTACAGATGCGCACAAAAACATATAGAAAAATATATAAACTAATTAGATAAAGATAAACTATTTTTTGCTAAACTCGAGAACAGCTTTACCTAGAATACATTTTAAGGAATCGAAGTTAAGATCACAATCTTTCGCAAATATATTAAAGTTGGAGCAAGCAACCGTGATAGGCGATCTCTTTAGGGCATTACTTCTATTAAAGGTGCAATAAAACGTGCGACTACTTCTACTTGATAAACGAGGCACATAAAAATTAAGATAATCTAAAAGCAGGGGACAGTCAATATAAAAATTATTTAACTTATATACAAAATTAATGGATGATAAGACCCTCCTTGTTTCAAGTGACAATACTCCAAAGATAGACAAAAGGATGGAATGCTCAAAGTGTCTATGAGGGTAATAACCAAAACGTTGGCGATAAAGAAATTTCAGAAATTTACGTTGGATACGCTCTATCCCTTTAACCATATAGGAGTACACAGGATACCAAATTAGAGAGCAATACTCGAGTTTAGAACGCACCAAAGCGTAATATAGGGTCTTCAAACTATCGTTTCTATTTCTAAAATCAGAACAATTTCTGTAAATGAAGCCTAAAACACGGCATGATTCCTTAATTTTAATGGTAATATGTTCCCTGAAGGTAAATTCAGTATCAAATGTCACACCTAAGTCAGTAGTTTTCGAGCAACGTTGTATTAAGTCATTATTAATGCTATAGTCAAACTGAGTAATCTGCCTTTTACGACTGTAAGATATCACCTTGCATTTACCAATGTTCAGAAACAGACAATTCTCGCAACACCAGTTATAAACTTTATCTAAATCATGTTGAAGATTTAAGCAATCGCTAAAACAATCAATTTTGGCGTATAATTTCAAGTCGTCTGCGTAGAACAATCTGTTGCTATCCATTATGTCACTAAGGTCATTGATAAACAGTAGAAACAACAGGGGCCCTAAGTTGGATCCCTGTGGTACACCAGACGTGGCGAAAAATGGCAAGGATCTACTCTGTTGATAAACAACTACTTGCTCTCTTTCAGAAAGATACGATAGAAACAGATTACACAGTCCTCCCGAAAACCCAAAGTGATCTAATTTCTTAATGAGTATAAGGAAGTTTATGGTGTCGAAAGCCTTCCGAAAATCGGTGTACAAAACATCCACTTGGCCACGCTGGTTCAAAGCTTCGGCAACGTATTGTGATAGTACAGCTAAGTTAGTTTCAGTTGATCTCTTTTTCATAAAACCATGCTGACAAGGGGAAATTAAGTTTTTAACCTGTGCATATAAGTGTTTATAAAGAATAGATTCAAAAACTTTTGAAAAATTCGATAATATAGCAATGGGTCGGTAATTCACAATATTAGTATGATCTCCACTTTTAAATACTGGACAAACTTTAACTTTTTTCCATATTGAGGGGAAGGTTGACGTTTTCAAGATTAAATTATAAATATGCAGCAAAGGTTCGCAAAAAATATTGTAACAATCTTTCACTATATAAGCTGGTACCAAGTCTAATCCTGCAGTTTTTTTATTTTTAACTTGATGTCTTCTACCTTGACAGTTTCGCAGTTTATTTTATGGCTTTGTCAAGACGTTCAATTATAACTACCATTTGTGTCTTAACTTAAAAAATTTCTCACATGTCAAGGTTTTTTTGGTAATTTTTTGTAAGGAAATATGGATTTTACAGTTAGGCGCCTCCCCTAGGGCTGTCAACGAATGAAAACTTCATTGCTATTTAGATGAGGGCAGGTATGGGTGGGGCTTAATCTTTGGCTTTAATTTTTTTTTAATATACACAATATTTTTTAAATAACACTATACTCAAAAACATATCTTACATGGTAATTTGTTGAAGAAAAATAATTTAGACTTATTTCGACAACAAAAAACTTAAAATATGTCTAAAATGGAAAATTTTTTTAGTAATCAACTTAAATCCTCCACTTTTCTTCTAAGCCCCTCTAAATACGGTAAAAGCTGAACATCAAAGTTACTATCAACGGCAACTTGGCAACGGAGCTTATAAATGACAATTTTCAGCTCCAAAAGCAACGTCAACGGGAACAGCAACTGCAACGGGAACTTCAACGTCAACAGCAAATTTATAACTTCTACTTTTAGCTGACGTCTCACACACGTAGAAGACTCGTCTCTGATTTGTTCGCTCATCACTATGACCTCGGCGTGCGTAAGCGGTAGCAACTTACCGCTTACGAGCCATGAAAATCTGTGCGCAGAAGGTGTTACTGCTGATCCGCCTGTTAATTATTAATCTCTTTAAATAGAGTGAGCGGCTCATTTTACAAACTTGAGCTCGTGTAATTATAACGTATTTTTTAATGAACTATTCCGAATAACTTTTGAGAAAGATTTTGTCGCTTATTTATTGTGTTGTTTACGTAAATACTAAATATAAAATCTTGATAAATTTAAAATCGAAATGATGATATAAATACATTTAGAGGAACTACAAGAAAACATTTCTTAGAGGAATTAAATAAAGAAAAGTTAGCTGTCTATACTCTGTAGTGCTGAAAGGATTTTATGAACATTTATTTATGATAAGTTGATAACCTCTATACATTAAAACAAATATAACAGATAAGTAATACCAGTAAGAGAGTAAAAAGTTAAATGACATCCTATAAATGTGTTTTAACATTTTATAATTTTTTTTGTTTGTTTACGATATCCAACACTTTTTAATTTTCATATTTTATGTAAAGCTTGTTTTCCTGAACACATTAATGTATTATATTTTAATTATCCAGGCTCTGTCTTCTCGCGTTCAAGCGCAATATCTTACGAAAACACACTTGTTTATATTTCGCCTGGAGTGACCATGACCGGAAACGGATTAACAAGGGCTCCAAAAATATGAATGCCTTGATAAAGGTAGAGCCTATAGGTGCAATTCTGTAAAAAATTGTAAAATTGCAAATTTCCATAGTAACGAGTTAAAAATGTTTATTTTTAGCAACCAATAAATTTTAACACATTTTGATACACACGTGCTTGTGTAGTGAGTTTTCCCATTTGAGACTCTATCGCTCACCATTATTTCAGCAAGGACACGA